TAATTAAAATTTAAATAATTTTTATTAAAAGTAATTATTAATTTTTATATTAAAGTACAAATCTTTTTGTACTAATTCATATTAAAATTCTAATAAAATTATTATAACAAATTAATAATATTATTTATAATATTTATTATAATAAAATTAGCATTATAATATTAATTAAATTAATATTTAAAATATAATAAAATTAGTATTATAATATTAATTAAATTAATATTTTGAATATAATAAAAGAAATATATTTATTATAATTAAAATAATATTTATAGAATTTTTAAAATATATAAAAATAATATATTTTAACTAATAAATTTTAAATAAGAAATATAAAATATATTAATAATTAATTTATAATATTTATTTTATTAATATATTTTTATTATTATTAAAGTTATATTTGAAATTAAATTTTATTTTAGATAAATTCTTGATAAATATTAATAAATTCTAACATATTTATAAGTTAATATTAAGCATTTCAAATTTTAAAATATATATAATTAATTATTTTAATTGTATGAAAAAAATTTTATTAATTAATAATATTTAATTTCTCTAAATTGAATTTTATAAATTTTGTTTCAAATAGAATTAAGCTATATTTTTATAAAATATTATATTATTATTATTATTATTAATATTAATATTCTTATAGATTTTTTTATTAGAACATCTTTATATAATGTCAAATTTGCATTTATGTGCACGTGATATAAAATGGTCTTCATTAAACCTATCATTTTCATAGCTTTGGAAGACTAGAGTGTACTAAGTTACGTTAAACTGTTTGATGAATATATATATTATGCACCATACCACACTGAATAAAATATCAAAATGTGTGTCGGCACAGTATTCAATCCGAGGTGTAGAGATTTGGTACGGTATAAACGCTGATTAAGGCGCAATATTTAACGTAATTGTACTTCACCGTAACAAATATAAAATGAAAAATTTAGTATGGTAATGTCCTAGGAAAAGGGTTAATTAGGTATGTAATACAAATTATAGTATTAAAACTTGTACCATACCTGAGCAAAAATTCCGCATTTTTATTGTTTACACATCAGAAAACGAGTACGTGGTTTAGTCTTCTGATTTATTATATTATTGTAATCTCACAATTTTTTGGTTATCTGAATCAGTTGAATCGGAATTAGGGTCGGATTTGCTTATTTACAAACATGGGATTTCTTAATTCTATCACCAAAGCAGCAAAATTATCTGGCGCGGCCAAATATTTGAGCATATGTCCTTCAGATTTGGGACGGTAAGGATTCGGTTCAAATGGTAACATGTAAAAATTTGGTAGCTTCTGTTGCTTTGACTTCGAATGTGGTTTATAAATAGGTAATGTCTTCGCCAAAGATATTGTATTGAATATTTTGAGATTTGAATCGTTAAAGATTTGTCGAAGTAGATCAGATATATTATCGTACTTCTTAGTGGTAAAGTCATCAGGTATATTTTTGTTAGAGACTAATACTACGTCCGGATAATATTCGTAGTTTCCATCAGTTGAAGTCAATGAAGGTAAAGTCGGGAATTCAGATATACGATACTTTAGCATTTCTGCCTTCCTCAAGAAATTCCATGTGTTCAAATCAATGCTTTCAGTTACTGTAATAACAACATTACATACGGAAAGTAGGAAGATAATATATTGTAATGATTGCATTTCCAACCATAATTCTGGCGATATATGATCAGGAATATAATCATTCCTCACAGCACGCTCCAAGATACTTAGACTGAAGAGAGGTTGTGTATCTAGTAAAATAATCCTTTCCGGAGTCACATGAATATCAATTCCGATTGTTTCATGACTGGCAAAATTTAGTGCCTCGTTTGTTTGAACTGGAAAAGCATTATTCGGATCTTGACAGAGCGCTGAAAGAATTGTCGATTTTCCGGAACCTTGTGGTCCACAAACACCCACAACGAAATGACCAGCATGTTCAGTTAATATTTTTGCAACACTCTCAAATAAAAAGGTTCCTTTCTCATTAATCATTTTTTGAAAAGGTTTCTCGGGTTTCTTCGGACGCAGAATCCCAAGTTTCATCTCAGGTTCACGTGACACAGATGATACGGAAAGATTATGCGAAAAATCTTCAAGTGGTGAGGACGGAAAATTAGATGCTTGTGGTGATAAAACCTCTTCAAATTGTTTCCTTGTTGTATTAGATGAAATAGAAGTTGAAGCGGAAGTTGAATTTGTGGCTGCTGTGTTTGATTTGGTTGCTATTGTTGGTGTAAGGTTGGCTGTTGTAGCAGTAGTAATAATTGATGTTGGAGTAGTAGGTTGTGGTTTACGCTCTAAAATAACAGGTGCTTGATAGAAGGATTTAGAAAGAATTTCAGGTGTAGGTGTTGTAAGAGTTCCACCAGAAGAGTCCTTTCTTCTATCACGTCTTCTTCCACCTCTTCCACCTTCACGAACACGTTCTCGATCATTAAAACTACCATCTCTACGCCCTTTGTCCGCATCACGGCCACCCCCTCTACTAAATTTTCCTTCCTCACGTTCTTCATATTGTCTATTGTTAAGAGTTGAGGATCCTTCTTTCGCCATTTTAAACTTCGGGAAAAACCCAAAGATAACGAATTTTGAATTTTAATTTTATTTCGTCATCATAATCAATCAACCAATCATAATTCGCGAGAAGTTTTATTAACTGAATCTTTTTTTGCACACTCGATACAAGTGTTTTTTTTTTTACAATGGTGAGTGTTATTGTTTTTAAGTGACGAATAAAAATTAAAATTTATTGAGAGAAAACTACTTGCTATTTATATAAAATTGGGCAAAATGCAAAAACATGAATAGAGCTCCCCGCACATATAAATGGCGCGTAATAGACTCCAATAAATGAAACAAATCTGTTTCATCCATCTTAATATCTCTTTATTTCAAAATTTTAGCCTTCTCATAAAACGTTTCGAATTAAACGTATTCTTGGTAAAAAGGCGAAACAGAATCGACCTATTCCTCAATGGATCCGATTCCGTACCGATAACACAATCAGGTATGAGTTAAGAGGATTTTTGTCCATATAAAAGAGAACTACTCTGATCATGCATTTCATAATCAAAAATCTTAGATACAACGCTAAACGTCGTCACTGGCGTCGTACCAAGTTAAACATCTAACCGTTTCCTCGCACTGTACGCTGTTCTAATAGATAACCCGATGATGATTTGATGTTATAAGGTGGAAATGGTTGTGACATAATAATCGGTGTTATATTTGTATTAATTTTTTCAATGTAGTTTTAAATACATAGCAAAAATAAACATAGATTTCTTAAAACTTTACGAATCAATGTTATGATTGCATTATATTATAAAATTGCAATTAAAATAGAAATAAAATAATTCATTTTCTTCGCCAAACTGACATCATTTCTCGATCTTTTCTACTCGGATGACTCTTACAATTATCATAGTATTCCAAACTGAAATCCTTGGAAAGTAACTCTTCATATCTGGATTATTAAAATAAGTATTTAACTATAAACCAAAAAGAAAAAAAAATCAAAATTTTTACATCTTATATTTTACATTTGTCTAGATAGTGAAAAGGGCGGCCCGTCTTTACGACCCTCATCCAATGGATACATTAAAGCTATCAATATTCCACCTGGCGTGATCATCTCAGCCATGCGATTTGCCCATTCCGGACGTTTAGAGAGATCTAAAGCACATAAAAATCTAAATAATAACCATATTAATAATGATCAATAATGTAAATAAAATATTAACCATAGAGTCTTTAGATGCTTACGTATAATCATAAACTACTTGAAAACCGCCTTCAGGAATCTCAAATGTGAAAAAGTCACCAGCTTGAAAGTCAACGATCGGTGAATGAATGGCAAGTTCATTTTTTCTCTTAAAAGAGAAATTATTAGTTTGTCAAGAATGAGATGGAAAGTTGACAATAAGGATTAAAAAATGTACATATGAATGTTATCTAAACCTCTTTACAACGATTGATAGCCACTTCACTCAAGTCTAAACCGAGCATATGCCTTCTCTCATTTGCCAGATAAAAAACATCATAACCCTATATGTTACCAATAATTCATCAATATAGTTTCTTCAAGATTAGAAATCAAATTAAAGCAATAAATTGTACCAGACCACATCCTGGCACGAAACCTTTTCCATCTGGTATCTGGAACCCTTTCTCTTCTATAAGTTCAATTAAAGCAGGTGATACGGATCCTTTATCCCAAGGTGTTATCTAGTAATTAGATCCAAAATCAATTATTTGTCATTTTTATTGATTTTTGCATCAAAGCTATGTTTTTTAATAGTAGACACACCTCATCTTGCCACAGACCTTCCCATGCTATTGTTGATATGCAAAATACTTAATATAGCACACTATATCATAACTTTTAAAATATTACTTGCCAGTTGGCCCCTCCTCTTCGAGGCGATTTCGCACTATTTCTGTCAATCCTAATAAATATCAACGGAATTCTGTATATGTAATCTCTGCTCCATTAATTAATCAATTAAGCAATCTTACCCTTGAGTTTATCCATCAGCAAATCTGGTATGATATTTTCGATCAATTTTTAATTCATTTGTAATTTTGTCATTGTCTAGCACACATTAATTTTTTTATCCTAATCCTAATTCTAATTTAGGTTAATTCCGATCCATAAATGTACAGCATACATGTATGCACTCCGACACTAACTCTTAATCAACTATATCCACATAGATCGATATATATATAATAACCCCATGATTGTTTACAATGAAAATGTAGAAATGGCAACCAAACTTATTTACTCTGCCAGTCTCGATACATCTAATTGCAGAAAAATCGAATGTGTATGCAGTTCCCTGTCGGTTCGGGTCACTTGGATATCAAATACATGTAGTGGGGATTATACATATTCTGAATTTAGTCGGCGGTAAAATGGTGTGACGTTAGGAAAACCTAATTTAGGTGACGATAGTCCAGGAACAATGAAATTGCGAGGCTTTGTTTTGGTGATATCACTTCTTACATTTCATTTATGCCGTCGTTGTTCAACGTTGTCTATCTACCAATGACGCATTGCATACATGCGTTTTTTCTTCACAATATGCACGTTAACGATGAAGCAAAAAAAATTTTTCTGTATGAAATAATAGCGGTAATAATTAAACATTATTGTCAACTATAATTAAACATTATTGTCAACTTATTTGTGACAATCGAAATGTGTTTCAATATATGCACGTCAATTATTTGTTTGCTATCAAAGAACAATTATTGTAAGGACGATTAATGGGATCGGGCAATCAATAGTGGATGATGTGTGAAGTGGTTGATTTGACGGGATAGTACGATTATGATTATGCTACTTTTTGAATTTACAAAATAAGGGAATTTTATTTGAATTCAGATTTTTAGAAATGTCTATTTTAATATAGATTTAGTTAAAAGAGAAAAAACGCAAAGAAACTGTACACATTTCCAAGTTGTCAATGTTTTTTATATCTACTATTTACTTCTAGTAGTTGACATAAGAAAGAATTGAAAAATACACGCTCTTATAAAGAGGGAAAAAGTTAAAAAAAAAATAAATAATTTATCTACACACGATTATAAATATTCGATCAACCCAGTGAATTCAATTAATATAAATAATTATAGTGTCATTATTACCAACAAAGATCAATTTGTTAGCGCACTGCGAAAAATGATCCAGTGATAATCCAATGCTTTAAATTAAAAAAAATATACAATTGTATCTAAACAAAAAGGATGCTATTTTTCATGATGAATAAGTAAATATCGTAGTTCCTGGCCTTGAAGCATTCAGATTGTAACTCGAGGCTCGGGATCTTAATGTAGGAATTAAAGGCTTCCTTGGTGTTATGTTTGTTGGTTCTTGTGTCATGGTAAGCCCAAAATTTGATGATGATGATGATGATGGTGGCGATGAAGGTGGAGATGAATGATGTGCATTGACTAATACACCTGTCGGGGTACCTGATCTAGGTCCTGGTGTTGTTGGTCTTGATAATGTACCATTAATACCATTACCCATGCTGTTATTGTTATTGTTATTATTTGCCGCACCCACCCGAGAAGAGATTGCAGAGAATGAAAATGTTCTTGGCGTGGGAATATGTGTTGTATTTTCTTCATTGGTAGGTGAGCTTAGTGGAATTGATGATACTGGTGTTGCTGGTCTTGAATTTACCGCAGCAGCAGCAGATGTAGCTGATCTATGCGTTAATGACATTGATTTTGTCGGATGACTGATTGGTATTCCAGTTGAGGAACTTGATGATCCTAATCCTGATGTGGATGCAGATGATAATGATGGAGTTCCTGGCCTGGAGGAAATTGATGATGTGAGGGAAGTACAACTCGGTGTTCTCGGTCTCATTGGCATTTTTGTGGGTGTTGTTGATGACATGCTATTACTAGTCATTGTGGTGGTTGTACTTGGAGTTGATGTTAATTTAATGTTAGATTTGGAATTTTGATGTCGCATGAACGGATTTTTGGGTAATCGTGAACTCGTAGGAATTTTTAAATTTATCGCTCGAATACAATCATTTTTCATTTTCTCAATTATTTTCACTATACGATCAAAAGTACCATCATCATCATCATCTTGCAGTTCCCCGTCTTTTAAATCAATATTAGATAATGATGAAGATTTCTTTACTGATGAACTTTCTGCTATTAAACCATTATTTGAACTCTCATTGTTATCTACTTTCTTAGCCACTATCGCATCGGTGGCTTTTTGTTGATCGTTAGCTGGAGGCGTCAGCGGCGGCGATGGTAAATTATTTGTAGTAATAGTGACAGGAGAAGGTGAAGAAGAAATGGTCTCTTCTAATTTTGATATATTGTCCCGTAATTTTTGATTTATTTCTTTAGATTGCTGCAACTCGGCCTCCAGCTCTTTAATACGTCCCTCCGAAAACGTGGTTGTCGTAGTGGTGGCAGAAGAAGGCGGTGAAGAAGAAATAGTCTCTTCTAATTTTGATATATTATCTCGTAATTTCTGATTTATTTCTTTAGATTGCTGCAACTCGATTTCCAGCTCTTTAATACGTCCCTCCGAAAAAGTGGTTGTCGTAGTGACAGGAGGAGGGGGTGGTGAAGAAATAGTCTTTTCCAATTTTGTAACATTATCTTGTAATTTATGATTGATCTCTTTTGAATGCTGTAACTCGGTTTCTAACTCTTTAATACGTCCTTCTAAAACAGTAGTAGAAGCTTTCAGTAGGACGTTTTCTTTAGATTGTTGCAATTCGGTTTCTAACTCTTTAATACGATCCTCTAAAACAATAATTGTATTAGTATCGGCGGGAGGAGGAGGCGATGAAGAAGAAATGGAATCTTCTAATTTTGTTATATTATCTCGTAATTTCTGATTTATTCCTTTAGAATGTTGTAACTCGGTTTCTAACTCCTTAATATGTCCTTCTAAAACAGTAGTAGAAGCTTTCAATAGATCTTTAGACTGCAACTCGGTTTCTAGCTCTCTAATACGTCCTTCTAAAACAGTAGTAGAAGCTTTCAGTAGGGCACTATCTTTAGACTGCTGCAACTCGGATTCCAGCTCTTTAATACGCTCCTCTAAAACAGTAGAGGAAGCTTTCATTAGAGCACTTTCTTTCGTCTGTTGCAACTCTGCTTCCAGCTCTTTAATACGTTCCTCTAAAACAGCAGTGGAAGCTTTCAGTAGCGTATTTTCTAGTTCGGCTACACGAAACTCTAACGACATTATTCTTTTCGCTTCTTTTTCTTCCACCGGGGACGACTGAGGTGGCGCTTCATATAGAGAATGTACCATTTCGTAGTCTTGTCTTTGTGTTTCGTTTTAGGTTGGTTGGTTGTTGGCTGGTTGCTAATAAAATAGATAAATAAAGAAGTTTTTTTTTCAATAGCAATAACAATAGAATAAATATAATATTCTATAGGTTTATATATACAGAGAAGAAGGGAATGGCAACGCCGGATTGAGGAAAGGGGAAAGGTATCAACGACGACCAAGTCAAAAAAAAAGGGAGTACAATAAGAAATGATGTAATATATATTTTATGGTTAATGATTTTCTGATATTTTTAATTCGTATCGAAAGGTTTATCTATTAAAACCAAGGAGAACATTCACACTTTATTTTGCACACAATGTATAAACAATAATATTGCAAAATAAAAATATATATTAGTGATTAATTAATGATAACAACAATGATAACATTATTTTTTTGTTATGAGGAAGAAGAGAGGAAAACAACAGTGCTTAGGACAACGACCCGACTTTAAAAGTTTTTACAGTCGGTGTGGCAATATGATCGTTCCAGGTTCTCGTTCATTCATTGGCCGAGAGGTTTAATGAACAAATCCATCCTTACGAGCACGTGAAATTGAATTGGGGCAACCGCTCTGTATATCGATATGTAGAACATCAAACTTACTATATGTGAACATTACTTTGGACTAACTTTTCTCGTGTCATTTTTACTGCATACACACAAATTCAGCCGAATATCATCATTCACTATAAAAAGCGAAAGGCGAAATCTTGGTCATTATTCTTTTGTATACTAAATTCTTGCTGGTCTACTTTAAATGAAGTGTTTCTCTTAAAGAGGCTCACGGTAATATTTTCCGAATTAAATGCCATATAAATCTCCCTTTTTTTATGACTTTTAACTTTTTAGTAGTAGTTTCAGAAAAACGGGTTTATCAACTAAATGGTGGTATTTAATAAATGAATTTAAAGAAATCAAGGAATTGTTCTCATATGTTCCAACTTTTATATCATATGATTTAGTGTCATTATAATCATCCAGTTGTTGATACACAATTCATTTCGGGGTCTCGCCTATCGAGACACTAATCCGTATAAAGTAATTAAAACTAAAACTCCGCAGTAAAGTCAATCATGGCGTAATAGTATTACTATTAATAGAGAACTATTCATTTATTTATTGTTCACATGTATCTAAATCATTTCAACATCTCTGCTGAAAACAAAGACAAAAAACAACAAAGCTGCATTTTTATTTTTTCCCGCGCGTTATTCATCTAACTGTTTGAATAGTTAAGAATGCAACGGCATCACGAAGAAGGTTCAACACCTCCTCCACCTTACACTCTAGTGGATCACTTAAACACTTCTGCGAGTAGTTCGACAGTAGCAGCCAATAACAACAATAACACTTCGTCGTCGTTTAGCCAAAATCAAACAAACGGAAACAATACCCTAAATATCGTAAGTATAACTTTATTTTATCCGGTTTCCAAAAAAAAATAATAGAATAAAAACATGTGACTTGATTTCCTAATTCCACTTTTTAACACCAATTGATAACGATAATTTATTCATATTCATCATACAAATAATAGTCATATTTTTATTTATTTAATTTGTTCTTTATGACATTATGTTTAATGATGATTATTGATGTATGTACCTTTCAAAGACACCACAATATCATTCTCAAAATCCATATCCGGCAACAGTAATTTCAACAGATTCTGATTATCGCCTCGCTCAAAAGCTTCAAGAAGAAGAATATGCGTTAGGAATGGATCAAAATCCGTATGAACCTTATCCTTCTCGTAGAATACATGGTGGTGAATCATCAACTTCTATTCTTCCTACATCACATCATCAAAGAGTTCCAATGCCTCCAATACCAGAACATTATACGTGTAATTATCATCACTCGTATCAAAATTCTGGTGGTATCACATCACAACAGTCATCAATACCAATAACACAACAACAACAACAGCAGCAGCAGCAACAACATTATCCAATTGTTTATGCTTCACCTAATCAACCTCCATTGCCATACTCACAAACTGCACTGTATGCCACTAATATCACTGGTGGAGGTGCTGGTACCCATCATTCCTCATATTATGGAAGTTTAAGTCAAGGTAAACAAATAAATAAGTAAATAAATAAATCATTAATTAATTACATCCAATTCAATCGAGCTGCATAATCATTATTTATGAATGATCATTTAGGCACGACTGGAAATTATTATTCTTCAGCACAATCTCATCCATTCTATAATGCACCTTATTATAATTATCAACAACAACATCATCAACATTTAGCATATCAGCATGAAGAGGAAGAGGATAATTCACCAGGATGCTTGACTGGATTGTATGAACGTTCCATTCCTTTTATTATAATATTTTTGGTGATTTGTTTTGTGTTCCTCTGTACCGATCAAATGCCCGAATGATTGGAAATTGCTTGATCTTTGTTTAAACATGTGCTTACTAAGGCTATACATTAATTTGGGTAGGGGGAACAAAATTAATTTCGTTTTGCTCTTTGATTCTCACGATTTTTCTCTTTTTTTTTCTCACACATTAATGTGTGATTCTTATACACATTTTTAGTGCTCTCGGATCTTTGTTTTGTTATGTTTGCTCACTGTGTGAATTAACGGAATAACTATATTGTTTCGAAGAATCATGATTCTTATATTTATTGTCTCGAAACAAGACAACTGGAGTAATTTTTTTCCTTTTTTTTTCAAGCTGTACATATATAAATACGTATCAATGGTGTAAAAGAGGAAAGCATTGACCGATTGTTTATCATTTTGTTACATAAATCACATGCGTTTTATAATAAACTAACGCGCCACTGCATTGTGATTCTAGATACATCTTTTGTTTTACGCTATTTTTGTTTATCGTTATAATTAAACCACATATTACATTGATTGATAGGGGAGGTTAAAGTTTGAGCATATGCAATAAAATGCTTGTGTAAATTGTTGATATTATAAATTATAACGATAAAGCATTATTTGTTGTAAGTCGAGTCGCGAGTAAGGAAGGAATCGTGTTTTTGACGATTAAGTACTTACGCGTGTGAATGCATGGGGAATATTGTGTAGTTATAGAAAATCTATAGATATAGAAAATCCATAAAAAGAAACAATCCAAAGTTAACAAGTCTCTTTGATGTTTATTATGTCCAAGGTAAATCTGGTATGTGGGCGTATTGTAAATATGTGTATAGTTTTAGGAAATGGCTGGCGATTAACGTGAACAGAGTATCTCTTGTAAAAAAAAGGTTCACATCGTTTTTTTGGTCGATATCGATATGCCGAATTTCTGCACACATGCCGAATTTTTTACGCGATTTCTGATTAATCAAAACGCGTCACGAATAAAATATAAATAAAACTGAGGCCCGGTAATTTCTTTCAAGCCTCGATATAATGAAATCGAGACCTTTTATTCTAAAGATTACATTTATATTACGAAGTTCATAAGGAATCTCGAAGTCTTCCAGCTCAAGAGTTCGTTATATCGAGGTTTAACCGTGTGATAAGCACAGCTTATTTTGTGAATATCAAGTTGTATGCCACTGAATTACAGAACTGTTTTCAAGTGAACGCAACATAACAGTTTCACAGTATATTTTTTTTTCTCGCTTTTTTTATCTCTATCCTGCATGCAGCCCGCCATATTGTGATTTTCTCTAATTAGATCACTGGCGTGGCGATGAATTTTACAATCTGGCATTACGAAAATTTTATGAAAAAGTTTTTATTTTCACCAATATTTCTAGTGATTGGAATCGAATATCAACTAAATCTTTTTTAAATAAGATGCTTTATCATAAAATTTTTTGACCACATTTGTTTTGGATTTTTCTTTTTCTTATAATTTACAATATAATAATTTTGAATTTTAATTTCTAAAAACAATTTATAAAGCAAAAAAAATTTATAGCTTTCAAAGGATGATGTGTTGAGTGTTTTATTTTGAATTTAGTATATTCATATCTAAAAATTATATTATAATTTGTTTTATTTTAAAAGAGAAGAAATTGTTCTTATATTTAATTATTAATATAAAATGAGAAAAATTACAAAATGAAGTAAATTTATTAATAAGATATAGAACTTATTTTTATATTAAATTTTTTTTTATTTATATAAAATATAATTTAAATATATATATATATATATATATATATATATAGATATAGATATAGATAACTAAAAATATATAATTAGTAATAAAAAACTTAACTTCTTAAATTTACTATAATTTAATAAAAAATTATAAAACTTTTTATATATACTTATTAATATTATTAGAAAAGTTTATTTAAGATTATTTATTAAATAATATTAATATTATTTTTTTTAATTAATTTTTTAAGTTAAAAAAATTAATTTTAAAAAATAATTAGAAAAATTTTATTATGTAATTTATTAAATTTT